GAATTGATTTGTTTAAAATTCAGAGAGCATTGCTTGGTAGACAAGCCTTAGAATATTATATAATTTTATTGTGATAATAACTTAAGATAGTATGAAAAGGGCAAAGTTTTCAGTTTGGTTAAATGTTTGTGATAATTTGATGTGAGTGCTTTGTGACATGAGAGATTTAGACACTTGATTTTGTGAATGGTACCTAATAGATTTAAATGGATGAGAGATGAAATTATGTGTTGCATGATTTCATATATATTTTCAAGTGTATGAAGCTTTTAAAAGAATTTTAGCTTACATTTTTTGTTGTATGTGTTATTTTCAACTATAATGACGTGTGTTAGACCAGAAAGATGATGTTTTAAGAGAAAAAACTCACCATTGAATTAACGAGGTAAAATAGAGAAAAAAATTATATTGTAAGAAACAAATACTGGTAATGAATGTTTAGTATTAATATAACTAAATTTTTTGGGAATGTTTCATTTGTGCTAACTATCTATAATTATATATCATATAATTAAATGGATTATGATGTTTTAGTAAATATATTTTTGTTTTCTATTATTTTATTCATATAACTACAATCGTAAAACTATTACTTTTCTCTTAAAATTTTATTTTTTCTTTAATCTTTCATTCATTTTTCTGTTTCTCAAATAGTTACATAACCTAAATAATTTATATTCTTTAATAACACGCTACTAACTACTTACTATTTATTATTTAAGCATTATTTACTATTTTTTATTTAATATTGTTTTATTTAAGTCCAACCTCTATTTATAATTAATCTCTATAATCACCTTTTTAATTTAATTTACTTTTGTAAAAATGTATCTCTTTTTCCTTAGCAATATTGATATACAATATTTTTTATAATAGAGTTAATAATTTTTCTTCAATTTTAATTTTTTTTAACTAACCTTTAATATACTAAAGCATAAAAATATCAAAATATAAACTAATAAAAGTAACATTTAATGTTTAATCGATTAACTTGCGTCATATTGACCTTAGAACATACTCGAAACGGAAGGCATTATTTTATTTATATTTTACTTTTCTTTACAATGAATTACTTCTTTTAGTTATTTTTTAAAGACTATTTTGTTTTTCTTAGTTTTTTTAAATATTTTTTTCGTTTTCTCTGTTTTATTTTATTTAACAACTACATTATTTTAATTGACTATCGATGAAAAATGTTGTAATACATCTGAACTTATCGATAATAAACCAAAATTTAAAAATTAATTAAATATATTCATTTTTCATAATAACTAAATTTCCATCTACATATATATACTATAATTAATAGTACCTACTGCATTAGTAATTTTTTACATTGTCAATTAATCATAAATCGTTATTAATATAAATATTAACATCGTTATTATAAAATTTAACAAATTTATTATATATAATAGCTTACAATTGGACGATAATAGAATTTTATTTAAAATATCCTATGCATAAAATGCTTTTAGAAAAAAAGTAATACGAGAGAAACTTCATAAATTATTTAAAAAAAAACTCATCTTAGCCCATATTCTGTACTATGAAATATTTTATAAATCAATTTAGATAGAAGGTAACTTTAGTTTTCTTAAAAAAATTACTTTACATATTTTCGTTAAAATATCTGTGAAAAAAGTTGATCCAAAATGTAATATGTTAGTAAGTATGTATAACCAAAAGGGACGAAAATGAAAGTCCAATGTTTTGTATAAAATCACTCGCCATTGATAGACCCGTACTACAAGTTAACAAGCTAAAAATACTATATATTGTTTACATTCTTTTTTATTTATGTTGTTTTTTAAAAATCATGTGCTAACATATAAATTCTTTACAAGTGTATAATAGAAAATTATCTTATTTACTCCCATTCTATTTTCTTCTTTATTTTTTCTTTGAATAAGAGTAAGTGCATGATATCCACATTTTGGGGGTGGTGAGTGAGAAGGTGTGAACCCATAAGCCATGGTGGAAAGTTTTGGACGGCAATGGCTTGAGGGGTCAACTATTCATGCGTATGCGTAGTGCATTACAAACACATGCCAATCTCATGTCTCTCAAAACAATGCAATAATCTATCTGAAGAAAGAGTCTTATAACCACGTGTTATAGGCTTGGACGGAAGATGTTATTTATTCATAGTGGAAAACATCAACCCAATTTTATTAATTGGAAAATCTTTCAACCA